ACACATTAAATAGAGATAATCTTAATATTTACTAGTTTTCTAAGTATTAACTACTTATATATAGTGTATAATCACAGTATAATATGTACAATGTTTGATAAGTATGATCGGTATGTATATTGGTAATGCACTAACTAAGTATCCACGACACTTACAAACTATTACGATTAGATGGGTGAAAGTTTTTTTTTTTTTCAATCGACTGGCTAAAAATGCTAAGATTATACTTTTATCCTTGCACTTTTAACAATGGGTCATCGGATGGTATAGGGAATGAAAATCCGACCTCCCTGACATTGACTTGATTTCTTAAGAATCATTTGGTAGCTGGATTGAAAGTGAGTTAAGTAGACAAATGCGAACTTAGGATTTAAAGATCGTGGGATCACATCATTAAGGTAATGTAGATGCTAGCAAAACTTCCAATGATGATTGAGGGATAATATCATGTCCAATAGACCATATTGGTGTCAGGTGTGAACAATGACGAAAATATAAATGTATAGGTCAAATATAAATTCTAAGCTATTAAGTATTTATATTTTAGCTTTGTTGTAACAGTTGATTGTAATAGCTCCGTGGTCAAGAATGTGGTGTATATACATGTTGATTGTTGGTTTGAATCCCCCACTATTCATCACTTTTGTTGTCATTTTAGCCTTTTAAATAAAAAACAAATAATAATAACAAAAATGTGCTATTCCAAGATCAATATTGGGTCATAACTCATTGGTGTGGAAGCAACAACTTAAACCAACGCCCTAAGGTACAATTTTATTTGTATAATTGCATAAATAAATGTATATATCCGTTCCTCAAGGCTCAAAGCATATATACACATACATATTCATAATTTGTTTTGAAGTTAATGGGTGCACATGCATCCTCACCTAACATGTGAGTCCGCCTCTGTAAGCAGGTGTATATGGACTCCAACAGCATAAATAATATAATTTTTGATAGTTGGTTAGTAGATAAGTCATTCATGTATAAAATTAATACGATGTTTCGTTTGCAATTTAGAAACTCACAAAACTAATACATGCATAAGTTATAAGAGAATTTATATATTATTTTATGTTAAAAAGATTATGGAATAACTAATATTACATCATAATTAATTTTTACATTACTAATAAATTCAAACGAGCTAAGTCGGTGGAGATAATGCAATTGATATGTGACACAGCCCACATAGTGTCACTTTTGATCAATTTATTATATGGCCCCTTACGTAAAATTGAAACGTACAGATAGAGAAATGAGCCAAATATTATTTCAAAAAAATACTCTGATTCATTTTTTTCTTTTATATTACAAAAGGAATTTGTAGCCATTATTAATATAATAATTCACAAATTATACAGGAGATATAAATCACATTATACAAGTCTTGTATGATCTAAAAACACATGTATATAATATCGATCTAGAACCTCTTATTTAAAAAATATCTTGCTCAACCATCTCGACACCATTGAGAAAATTGTAACTCACATAATGGATTTAAAATTGAGTTAAGTAGGTTGCTTTAGTTTGTTCAATATAACTACACTTTGACCCATTGAAGTTATAATGTACTATATTTATTAGTTGAATTTATTTTAACTCTGAGTTTATACCATATAGTCAATTATTCTACAAAGTTACAAACCAATATGCAATTAAATATGTAGGAAACAAAGTGGGGGTAATTATAGTACAATAAATTTCTGTTCAAAAATAGGACAAGAGTCAGGAAGCATTAAGATCTGGGCACCGACACTAATATTTATTTATATTTGATAAAAATTAAAATATGTATATCAAGAAAAAAAGCTTTTAAATAATAAAATTTTATTCTAACACGACATAAATTAGTAGTTAATTACTCAGATCCAAGCCTTCACAAGTAAGTAACAAAAAGATTAATTAAACAAGTGTTGTTCTAGTGAAAAACACATATTTCTTTGTCATTGTCCAAGTTACCATGCTAAAAATCATAAAAAAAATAAACTTGTTAAATTTTAATTCTGAGTTCTTTTATGATAATAATCAATAAAAAGTTCGAATTAACATCCTTTAATATACATATATTGTAATTCTTTAAACACATCATCTCTTTTTTTTTTGGTTTCTCACCCAATGTCCAAAGAACATATTGGAGCTCCAACTAAATTCGGATTGCGCATTGCAAGGCCCATTTGGGGGTTCAGAGCTTGAACTCGAGACCTCTAATTAAGAGTGAAACACTCCCATCAGTGCACCACAACCTATGTTGGTTACACATCCTTGTTTCTTATATATATACTTATCAAAATTTCTGAATTCGCCAATAATGCTTATTTGCATTTGAGCAACCTCTCCTTGAGTTCAATAATATGTTCTAGCTAGTAAGCTTCTTTAGGAGGCGTTTCACCACAAATTTCAAATGTTTTTCACTTTATTAGAAATTGACAGAATTAGAATGGAAGATAGAGTAATTATTTATTATACTTTTTGTAAATAATATTTGAAATACTACAAACTTCAAAAATAAAAAATGAATTGAAAAACAAGTTTAAAAGCTATTTTCTCAATTTAAAATACAAATACTTTAAATGGAATTTGGAATTTTCATGAAGGAACATTAATTATCAGATAAAGTAAGAAAGAAAATTGAAAAATAAAAATAAATAACAACACGTGTCATGTGTTGATAGTGTAATAGGGCAAATTTACGACATATCACGTGAATTGCACGAATGGATCTGCAAAAAGATTCAGTCCAGGACCACTTCACTTTCCTTATAATAGCAACACCAGCTGGTGCTGTATAATTTAATGTACCTTTTTTAAACAAAAAGAAATAAATAAAGATTTTTTTTTAGAAAATCAAGGAAAACACCTCTAAATTTAGTGTGAATTATTAATTTCATACTTAAATTATTAATAGCCTTAAAAACATTAATTTACTCGACTAACTAAATTGAAATATATTCCCGATCTTGTAATATAACTAAAATACACTCCTGAATTCTCTTCAAGTTTAAGAGTATTCTCAACATTTCTTTATTAGGAGTCTCATGCTCGTACAAGAATTTGTAACCATTTGCTATGTCACATGACAGTTCAAATGTATATCTAAGTTTAGTTAGTCAAATGGAGTAATATTTTTTAACTATCAATAATTCAAAAATAAAATTACTAATAATTTATGTCAATTTCAAATATATTTTCAATATCAATCTCTTATTTTTGTGTAGAAAGATGTAAAAGCATTAAAACATCATAGGACAAAATGCCCATGCAACCACACATATGTCCCATGCTAGAACAAAACATGATGGTGGGGGAAAGAAAATGAAAATGAAAAGCACTATTACACTTAAATTATCAACAAACGACAAGTCATATCGTATCATAATTATAATAAGTGGTAGTAACATGCATCGGCCCCAAATCTTTGCAAAAGATCGTTAATAGTACTCACTTCGAATCACTCTACCTGTCCTCCTTATTTAGTGCATGATTCACAATAGTGATTATATTAGAAAAATCAAAATATAATTAACTCAGTACATTGTTTTTATTTTATTTTTAATAATAACTAATTTTGAAAATAGTAGACATTGACTAATTAGTATATGTGAAGATCCGTAAAAATTTGATCATAGATATTCGACGACAAATTTGTAAAATCTATTAGTACTAAGTACTAACTTAGAGCAGAAATTTTCATAGTTATCGACGTGTTACATAAGCAGAAATAAATGTGAAATATTATTATACCCCTATTGTATTTATATAAGAACGCAAAGTTACAATAAATACTTTTTTTCAATTTTCCACACTTAGTGTTCGGAGTTGATTGAGCATTTTAGGGTCTATCTGGGGGAGTGATGCTTCCAATAATATTTTCTCCATATTCAAAACTCGAATTCGAGACATCTAATTAAAAATGATTCATGCACCACAATTCATGTTGGTAAAGTTATGATACATATGAATTATTATTGTACGACTTTGGGTTGAATGCTCAAGTGGACTGGAATTTGGATAAATATCTTGATAAAATTAACAAAAGAGAATACTTGAAAGTTTACAACACTTTACACAGAAGTGGAGACTTGGAGTGAAGTTGGGTAAAAATATTGTTTAGTTTTTTCATAGTGAACTTTAGGAATTATATTTATTACTATAATTTATGTCATGTCACCTCACCAAAACAGTTCCATATTTCTTTTCTTTGGATAAAAGGAAAAAAATTTGTCTAATACGTATTAAAAATCCATCAAAATCTTAATGATCTATTTAGCCATAAAATTATTTACTTAATTATAAAATTGATGTTTGGCTATAAAAATTCAAACTAAATTTGAAAAACACTTTGAAATTGTTTTCTAACTCATTCTAACTTTTGAATATATTCATACTCAAATACAAAAAATATAATTAAATAAAATTTTCCGTTCAACTGTAACTTTATAAATTTCAAATAACAACAATAACTACAAATAAAGTTTAAAAAGAATAAGTATAAGCTTATCTTACTCGTAAATCCTATTTTACGAAAGATAAAAAAAATATAACTCTATAACTTTTATATATAAAATAAAAATATTTTAAAATTTATGACAAAACGTCTGCTTATAGCCAGCTTGCACATATGCCAAACATAGTACAAAAACAGAAGATGACAAAATCATGAATTTTAGCGTAACCCACTTTTAATATGCAAATACTCCAACAACCCCACTCCCATCCGTCGTTATTTATTCGCATTCGATATTTATGAAATTTTCATGTTGAATGACTTGTTCATTTTCAATATTTAAGTTAAATTTATTAATTTTCTATATTTAGTGATAGATAAAAATTCGAATATATATTATTAATTTATTATGATTAACCAACATTATGTATCATGTATTTATTTGAAATGGTATAAATGAATATTTTTATCCTGTTTTGTCAGACCCACCCACAGTTTACTTACTTAATTAGTTATAAAAAACATTTATAGTGGACCGCCAAACTTTTCTCCTGGCTATATATTCCCCCATTAAAACCATTTAGTAATGCTTCACTTCATCAAATTTTCAGCTTAGAAAAAATGAAGTTATTTCTATTAACTCTGCTTTTGGTCACTCTTGTTATTACCCCTTCTCTCATTCAAACTACCATGGCTGGTTCAAGTAAGTACCAATTCTTCCATCATCTTTAAAATTTGCTACTAGTCTTCTGGAAACATCCACCGGGTAGTAGTAAGGTTTTCGTATACTCTGCTTTTTTCATACCTAATCAAGTGAAATTTGAATATGTACTTGTCCTCGGGGCATAGCTATAGCCACTCCAGGGTATCCAATTATATGTCAAATTCTACATTTAAAAAATATATATTTAAAATTGAATACACTTGACAAAAGTTATGTCTTTAGCTAGTGGTAATGAGTTTTCATTTGAACAAAGAATTTTGGGTTTGAACCCCAAATAGTACAATATTATTTTATTTTATTTTGATAGCCACATATCATTATTTTTAGACACCTTTAATAAATTTTCTGGCTTAACCACTGATTGTTCTAATATTTTCACTACTATCCACTAACACAACACATATATAAGATAATTTTGTCCACTAATTTTTTTTAAAAAAGTTATATGTTCTAATTATGAGTTTTTTTTTTTTTTTTTAAAGATTTTTGTGATTCAAAGTGCAAGCTGAGATGTTCAAAGGCAGGACTTGCAGACAGATGCTTAAAGTACTGTGGAATTTGTTGTGAAGAATGCAAATGTGTGCCTTCTGGAACTTATGGTAACAAACATGAATGTCCTTGTTATAGGGACAAGAAGAACTCTAAGGGCAAGTCTAAATGCCCTTGAATTTGATGTATTTTAAATATCTAAGTGGTTAAATTTGGTCTTTACATATTAAGTTTTCTAGGTATGTTAAAGTTATACATATTGAAAACTATTGTTATTAATAAATAAATGGGTTCTTTTTTGAACTCTTTGGATAGTTTTCTGCTTTGTTTTAAATGTAATATGATTTTGAATTCTTATAAATAATAGTTTGCTTTGTTTTAAATGTAATATGATTTTGAATTCTTATAAATAATAATTTACTGTTTGGTTAAGTAGAACAGATCATATCTCCAACTGCACTTTATGAAATCAGGAATTAGTTAGCTTATTTACCCAAATAATCTTTATTTTTTTTCTTTTTGGGCAAAGATCTAAACTAAATATCAGGGATGAGTCAATAAAATTAATGGCTTAAAATTCATTTTTATTAAGACACTGATATATTTTGGGAATTTTTTTTAATAAAGAATGTTTATTTTATTTTTTATTTAAATGTTATAATATTTTTATTTTTAGAAAAAATAATTTACTATTAATTAAAAATACAAAATGACTAAAAAAATCTTTTAACTTATGAAAAATGATTCACAAATCCCCACTATTTATCGGTCGGCCTAAAATTATTATTCACTTGTATTTTGGCTAAGGAACATCCTCAAACAAACACGTTGAACTTACTTATTTATTATTGGTTACATATAATAATAAAGGTGTATTATTTTTATTTTTGATAAATGAAGCATCAGGGTTTTTATTTTTATTATTGATAAAAAGATGACTGAAGCACCAGGGTCCATTTTACATGAAATCATGATATGAACTCACGGGATGAAGTTGAATTTTTGTTTGGACATACAATTTGAACTTTTTATGTTGTATGTTTTCTCACAAACATAAAAAACACACATAAGTTGTAAAATTATCAAAATTGTCCCAATTATTTATACAATCTTACCAAATAAGTATAATATGCTGAAAATTTATGATAATGTTTTATTACTTATATTTATATTAGTAAGAATTAATTTAAATTAATAAGATGATAGTCATTTATTTGTAATATAAACGGTTGGATGACATTATATAAAATTATATTTACTATTATGAAGAAGAGAATAGTTTAATTGAAAATTCAAAAGTATTATCTATTATTTAAAGTGTAGATAGGTTTTTCAATAGACTTTAATTTATTTTTAATCTAAATGTTATATTACTTTAGAGAAAATAAACCATAATATTTACTTTCAGTAGCGCATCTAGAATTTTAAGCTTGTTGGTGCTTGCTTTTAAAAATATAAATTTATCGTAAACTACATAGTATAATTATATAAGTGTTCAACTAAAATGTTATAGTTAAAAACTCTCCGTTTCTAAGAAAAAGTAAATTACCTTGTGGCATTTGGAATTTCTTAATCGGACAAAATTTCTCAAGAAAAATAAAAGAAGAGTGTGATCTTTTATCACGAGAAATTACACAAATATAATAGAAAATTTTAAACAAAACATAAAGTAAATATAGGGGTGTCAAATGGGCGGGTTGGATTGAAATTGAAGATATTAAAATGGGTTGAAATAGAAATTGAGTTGGGTCTTAACGCGCCCAAATTTACTTGGGGCTCAAATGGGTTGGGCTCAAATGAGCTAAAAAATGGGTTGGGTCTTGACCCGCCCAATTTGACCCGTCCAATTTGACCCACTTAGTCTCAATAATTTTAATATAGTGATATTTAACTTTTATAATCACAATTTGAATTTCAACTCAAGAATTTATTTTTAAAAAATTAATAAATGAATAGATAAATCCTAAAAGATATTAAATAGATAATAATTCATACCTTCAATATAGGAACATATCTTAATAAGGAGTTTTTAAAACGGGTTGAAATTGGAGATTGAATTGGATTCAATTCAGGATTCTCTTAAAATGAGTTAGACTTGAATGAATTGAGATTGAACGCAATTCAAATTATCTTGAGCCCAACCCTTAAAATTTTGGATAGGTTGAGCGGGTTACAAGTTAATTTTTGACACCCCTAAGTAAATACATAAAAAATATGTATTGGATCAAAAGAAGACACCACTAAATTAGCCATAAATATTTGCAGCAACTGAATTTCGAACCCACAATCAAAAGAAGAAAATGTTAAATTAGCCATAAAAATTTGCAACAACTGAATTTCGAACCGACGATCATCTGACAAATTGCTTAAGTAAATGACAAAAATATCTCTTTCAACCCTTTTGTTACATCACTTTTTATATTCATGAAGGGCATTTTTGTAAACAAATAAATTGTTCTTAAAATTTATTATTTTGAATACAACAAACCAAACACTCAATAAAAAATAATCTCATCATAACTTATCCCATCATAACGAATTCCATCATAATTTATCCCATCATAATTAATCCCATCATAACTTGAATTCAAACCAAACGACCCCTAGTAATACATATGAAAATTATTCAGAAAAATGTTTACGTGTAACTTCTTTTGTACTACTGAAAATATTCACATGATCCATTTTTTTTAAGTTGCTCGTGGATAAGCAATTTGTTTACTTTTTTTTTTTTTGGTTACATATAAAAGTTACTAGCAATAACTATATGGACTTCCGATTACTAGCAATTTTTATAGGGAAAAAAGACAAATACTCTCGAACTATCGTTAGGTCGATGGATAAAATTATGACACGTATATGTCCGTTAGTATAAATGATATATTTGCTCTAGTTTCGGAAGTAAAAAAATAATAAATAAGCAAATTGTTTATGTATCAGCAACTTGAAAATATACAAATAAAAGGATCATGTGAAAGTTTTCAGTAGTAAAAAAGAAGTTAAAATGAACTTTTCGGTGAATAATTTTCATATGTATTACTATAAATATTTAAGTCAAGTGAATATCTTTTAAGAACCAAAAAGAAAAAAAAAGAACGATACAACATTTGAACATGCGATTTAAGATTATTATTTGAAATCTCAAAGAAGAAAAATGTGTCATACTTGGGAGAAATACTTGCAACTGCAATCATATTAAGCAGTAGATAACCAAAAAATATAAAACAAATGAATGTTATAAGAGTTTATTCAACAAACATTGTCAACCTGTCCTAAATAATAGAATATAACAACCAACACGTTAGGACCAAAATTATACGTACAGTACGAGCATTATAAATCACATCGAGGCTCGCATACACAAGTTTAGATCTTTAATACATAGAGACAAACAACATATAAGATAGGACAATGTATTCCAGATGCGCTACAACACACTGAAATTCTATCAGACAGATCAAAAAGAATGAAGGCGCCACAGCAACACGAGTCAACCTACTGTCGAGTTAACTTATACCTGTCGCTCATAAACAATCTTGTGCAATGCATTTGTTCCTTCCTGCTAGCCAACCCATCAAGGACCTTCTTCCCGTACATGTTGCTTTTCATCGATGCACCATGGATGTCGATGAGGTTATACAGAGCCTCCAACAGAATGCCCTGCTCAGTCAGTCAAATTAACAAAATGAACATGTTTTAATATCTGACAATACAGAAAGTTATATAGAATCAATATCAATATTGTTCCAGTGACAATGAGGTTTAATAAGTGGAAGAAGCTAAGATATAGGTTATGATAAACGAGTTGATATCCAAATATTTCAAAAAATACAAAGTGTTTCTTTTAATTTTTTCCTTCCACAGTAGTTTGCAAAAAAGATATCAGGTCTACATACAAAATAATTTGCAATGGTAAGTAGATCAATTTCACTGTTTTTTTCCTGTCTCGGCCACGTGTACTCATCAGAAAACCAGATCCTATTAAGCAAGGTTTACAATACTACTTCAACAGAAGTTTGCACCAATCTATTGCTATTCTAGCGTCTGCACATCGTAAGAAAAGGACACTGAGGAAGGTTTACAAGAATATAAATAGCAACCTCATCTCTACAGAATATACAAGCTATATAAATGCATAAAATACAGATCCTACATTAATATAATATGATTTGATTTCATGTTTTAGTTGTTATATCATTTCTTTTTCCAGGAAGAAAAAAGAGTAGAAGACAGAAAAACCTAAAGAGCATATGCTTTCATGAGATCCAATGGATGGAGCCGTAGCTGATTACTGAAGTCTATTGGTAGAGGTCGATACTATAGTGAGAAATAAACTACCCGGGGTACTTAAACACCATAGCTTGGCACAACTTCTGAATTTCTTGAATATATAATAGAACGTCTAAACCATGATAAGATAACCGGATAATTGAGTATTTTTTATCCATATCCTGAAATTCTAAGTTGGGCATACATCATCAATCTAAATACTAGAAGTGTCATCAATGCAAATTGAATTAGTTCTGCGGTTTCCCTTCATATTATCTTCTGCAATATTCAGTCTAAATATGTCAAAACAGTCACGCCTATGATTTGAGAATGTTTTTACCATGCAAGCATACTGAGAAAAAGAGAACTCCTAGAAGGTTGTTTTAGTCCAAGCTGAATTAGCAGCTCCAGATGGCTCATTTTGTTTCTTATACGATATAAGCAGGCTCATAGACCAAGGAATTTAGTGAACTAAACTTACCTTTGCTCTTTGCAGTGATGACTGGATGACAAAGTTACCATAAGGGTCCATCAGTAGCATTGAACCACTTGGATTACTGAGCAGCTCCGTGATAATTCTTGTGGAGTGCTCTTCTCCTGAATCGAGGATAATTTTCTCAACAACATTACTAGCGTACTTATTGCATGAGAGAGTCAGAAAGTTTCCTTGAAGCCTATCAATTAAAATATCTGTAACTCTTGGCAACTTCAGTCCCACAAGATGTTGCACCACATAGTTGCTACGTGAAATGAAACGTAAAAGCAATTAGACCTATATAGCAACTTCACCTTCACACATTACATAAGCACAAGAAAAAGAAAACAAGCCATACCCATATTGATCCTCTGATAGCTGCACTGCATTTGTCAATATCTCAGCAATTATGCAATCTCTAAGTTCTCCACCAGCAGATTCTATGCATGACTGTATCACACAGCACCCACTTTTTTGGGTAGCAATTGCAAAGCAGTTATTTGCAATTTCATAGAG